CAATGAAAAATTGATACTACAGCAATCTTTCACCATCATTATTATTATAACATTTAACACAAGATCTACCCTCCTAGAAAAATTTTAACTATACAATCTTAACTGTAGGCAATGCTGTACAGCCCATCTCGAGGACATCTTCATCCGGTATATCTGAACCTTTGTACCTACTGACAAATACTACAGTAATCTTTCAAACCACTAATGCCAGTACTGATTTACGAGTCGTATAAGATTTGGAAGACTTGTTTTTTTCTCAGCATACATCTCTCATGCAACTATAAATTAATACAATCTTTCTGCAAGGCAATTTGGTTATGTGTATCAAATATGTAAAACTGCTTAAGACCCAGTAATTTCCTTTCGGGAAATGTATCCCTACCAACAGCTCTTATGTAGCACACTGCTACAAAGTACAGGATCTAGAGTGTAAACTTGGGCGCTGTGGTTCCAAAGCCTGTGCCTTGACAACTTTTGATGTCTTAGCTACGAAGATGTTCACTACAGCATTGTTTATAATGAGAAAAGTTCAGAAACTAAATGTCCAACAACAAGGTGTAAGTTAAATAAACAATAGTATGTCCACTGACAACAGAAAGCAGTCATTAAAAATCAAGTTTCAGAAATAACATGTTTGCATGGACAAACAAGATATGTGGCTCAGTGAGAGGTGGGAAAGACACAAAACAGTGTACACAGTGATTCCAGTCTACTAAATGTTTCCTTTGGATGGTGAGATTCTAATTTTCTTCTTGGTGCTTTTTTGTATCTTCCAAATGTTCTAAATGTACTTGGATTCCTTTTGCACTCAGAAAAAAATTACTAATAAATTTCTCTCCAGATCAGCACAGCCCAAACAAAATATAACGCAAGTCACATATGTCATTTAAAATGTTTTAGTAACCATAACCACATTAATGAAAAAGGAAACAAGTGAAATTAATTTTTAAGTATTTTTATTTAATCTATATTTCTAAAATATTACCATTTCATGTGTAATCAATATAAAAATACTATTAATGGAGTATTTTACTTTTTTTGTATTGTCTTCAAAGTCACTTTTAGCACATCTCAGCTTGATCTAGTCGCATTTCAACTGCCCCACACCAGGTGGCTCATGGCTACTGTAGTGGACAACACAGCTCCAGATCCTTGGAAGAAGCCACACTCTTAGGTCAAAGGTGCCCAAACCATGACTCGGAAACTCTCCACTAACAACCTCCCTCTCCATGCAGTCATCCACATCGGCGTCAAGCCGCTTCTTTAAAGAGAAGAGATGTGCTTGGGAGACACATGGATCTGGGTTTGAATCCTCCCTCTAACGCTTATCAGCTGTGTGATCTTCAGCAAGTTAATTAACTTCTCCATGCCTCATTTGACCTGTTGCATAAATAAGGATAATGCCTACTTTGAATTGCTGAGATGGAAATAATGTATTAAAACACCTAATACATGGAATGCACTTGATAAGAGATTTTTTGTTTTTAAAGATTGGCACCTGAGTTAACATCTGTTCAATCTTCTTTTTTTTTCTTTTCTTTTTTCTTCTCCCCAAAGCACCCCCCTCCCTCCACCCCCACCCAGTACATAGTTGTATATCCTAGTTGTAGGTCCTAGCTGCGGCATGTGGGACGCTGCCTCAGCATGGCCTGATGAGCGGTGCTAGGTCTGCACCCAGGATCCAAACTGGCGAAACCCTGGGCCGCTGCAGTACAGCGCAAGAACTTAACCACTCGACCACGGGGTGGCCCTGATCACAGAGGTTTTTATTATCCTCTCCTCCCCTTTGCAACCTTCCTTATTCAGGTAAATAAAAGTCAGACTTAGCAGGAGGCAAGACAAGATTCTTAAAACAGAGATGGTAGGAAATCTCATTTAAAATGGTCCTATAACTAATTTTTGGGGGTGTGGAGAGCCTAGCTGGAGAAATCTACAATAAATACATTTGTATTTTAAAGGGGGCGACCTGATGGCAGGGGACAAATGGCACACAGCTTTGCTTGCTTCACACGGCTTTCGCTCAGCACATATTCAATCCATTAAACAAACAGAAATAGAGACTGAACGTGGGCCAGGCATCCTGCTGGACAAAGGAGGTGGGGAGTAAAAAAGAAAAGGGAGGTGCTGCCTTAATGGAATGGAGGAATGAACGCATGAGCCAGTGAACACTGTATCTTTTCTCATTTCTCTCAACTCCCTGGTCAGTTCTTTTTTGGAGTTCTTTTTTGCTTCTCTCTTCACCTAAGATTTTCTTTACTATGTCATTAGGTAATGGGGTTTCCTTCAAAAGGCTCAACTGTATACGGTCAGTCCACACGGGCCAAATCCACGTGAAGAGCATACATGTGCTCAACTTTTGTGTGAGTTTCAAACATTTCAAAATTAAAAATTAAAAAAATCACCAACTGTAATAGAAGGTAATTATCATGACATGTATCAATGGGTCTACAGCATCACTGTTTATAACAGAGATCATCAGAAACTGCACAGACGCCCCAAAGAGGTGAATGACTGAGGAAATTCACACCATGAAGAGGGGGAAATACCATACAGCAACCAATTTACATCTGCGGACTTTGTCAATTCATGGAAATGTGGAATGAAATCATGTGAATTGGGGAAAAAAGTGGAATAGAATCTATGATTACAGCAATGTAAATATATGCGAGATAGGCATTTACAAAAACTGAAAATGTATTTGGCGAGGTAGATTATTACTTTCCCATCTGGGTAGGCTGCCCACATTTATTAAAAAAAAAAAAGAAAAAGAAATAACATATGGTAAACCCCGTTCACGAAGCAAACTTGCCTTACGCCAGAGGGCAGGACGTCGGGGAGAAGTGCCTGTCTGGCGGGAAGAGCACCGGCTTCAGGGCTCAGGCTAACATGCAGGGACGCTGCAGTAAGTGACACCCAGTCACTACGGCACACTTTAACCTACCACTTGGAGCCCAACAGCAGATTTGGGATTTTTCTTGATTTGAGTAATTATTCAGAACATACTCCACACAAACATTTGACCCCTAGTGTCAGATTTTATTTTTACACGATAACTCCTTAGTCCTTTAACTAACCACAAGAGTGCATACAAGGTAAAAAAATTAAGCCTGCTGGCTTCCACTCTTATTGTGGTCTGATACCAAGCAGGAGAGACCAAAATAGCTGGTGCACATTAAGAGAGTGCCCTACTTTCTTTCACAAGCACTTTGTGCTTGAAAAAAATAAAAACTTACCATATCATTTAGTACTTACAATTAACAACATCCTCGTCATCTTGTGGTTTAAATGATGACTGAACAATAACTCAAGCTAGTTGTGTCCTGTTTCCTTTATCAACATAATTAGTATTCTTAGATCTTTTTCAATTGCTCTTCTCTAGCCTTACGGGAAAATAATTTCAAAAGGTTGAATCCATACGTTGATTCAAGATATGATTTCTCACACTCCGACCTCTACAATTTTGGCTTATAGAACGATATAGAGTAATTCTGGCATCGACTCTTCGGCAATGTTGCCTAAACATGAAAGTATCATTACACACATCGCCCAGGATTTTTATTTTGCATTGCATGTAAGTAAATTCATCGAATACTACTTCTTTCATATAAAAACCTTGACCTTACTTTTTTTTGGAAAATGATTAATTAAGAATACAGTAGGGGGCCGGCCCACTGGTGCAGCAGTTAAGTGCGCACATTCCACTTTGGCGGCCCAGGGTTCACTGATTTGGATCCCGGGTGCAGACATGGCAGTGCTTGGCAAGCCATGCTGTGGTAGGCGTCCCACGTATAAAGTGGAGGAAGATGGGCACGGATGTTAGCTCAGGGCCAGTCTTCCTCAGCAAAAAGAGGAGGATTGGCAGCAGATATTAGCTCAGGGCTAATCTTCCTCAAAAACAAAAGAGAAAAGAATATGGTAATTAAGAGACTCCCAATTGTCTCAAAAGCTCAGAGCTAAAATCTAGGTAGAGTCTGAACACACCTTATAAAGAGTTGAGATCCAAATTGCACAGACTTGACAAAACTTTTCATTTAAGCATTAAATTGTCTGGTAAGCTCTTTCAGAGTACCAAGGCAATAAAGGAAGATGAAGAAATAATAAAATATCTGATAAAGTTATCTGCCTCGTCCCCAAAATGTCTAAGCCTTGAAGCAGAGTGATCTCAGTGCCAATCCTGGGGATAAAGCTCCCTGTCTGGGTGATCCTGGGCAAAATACTTAATTTCTCTAGGATTCAAATTCCCCATCTATAAAAATAAGAATTACTCAATATATAATTGTATATTTATATTTAATATATAATTTCTCAATTAAAACAATAAAGCAATTAAATGATAAACGTGAAAAGGCTAGGAGCAGTAGCAATCACTGGCAACGACTATGTATTACCCAGCAATCGTCTTATTCAAACGGATAATTTTAAAACCCGCCTTTAATCAGTACCAGAGCAATTTTTCGCCTAACTTTAAGCTGTAGGGTTAATTACACATGACACAAATCTTACCACTAGAACTGTACTATTTAAGATTAAAAGAAACTTGTAGAAATGACAGTTTTGCATAACTTTAAGCCCTAAAGCTAATTATACATAACATAGAAATCTCACCAACAGAACCGCACTGTTTTAGTTTAAGAGAGACTGGAAATGATACTAACATTCCGAGCTGTATTTGAAGAAGCCGACAGAAAGGGAAACCTGAGACGGACAGACGGACTTTCTTGGCAGAAGTTTTATCCAGAAAAGGAACTAAAACGCACATCCCCGGCAACTCATGTCTGCAAGGTCCAAAAAGACAGGACGGCGCTAACACGCAGGACTCAGCGACCCCCAAGCCCCGCGGGGACGACAGGAAAACTCAGGTCTCCGACTGCCCCGCGACCAGACCAGCCAGCAGGACGCGCGGACGGCCCCGCCCGGAGCGCGCGGCGCACGGAGCCCGGGGCGCGAAGGCGCGCTGACCAGCGACACGGCCGGGGGCGGGACGCGCGGCAGGGCCCTACCTCTCACGGACTTGCCGATGCTGTGCAGGCGGGTGATGGAACTGTAGTTCTGGGCGACAGCCTTCAGAAACGCTTCCATCTCTGCCTGGTGGTGGTACCTGAAGTCCAGCGCGGCCGCCAAGGGCAGCAGCAGCCCCAGCCAGAGGCGGGCGCAGTCCATGTTCTAGGGCCGGGCAGGAGAGGAGAAGGCGGGGAGCAGGTAAGGAGGGGCGTCCCGGCTGCGGCCCCGCGCCCCGGCCCCAGGTCCCCGGGACTAACCTCCCCGCCTCCCGGAGAGGGGAAGGTGGCAGCGACACCTTCGAGCCGCGGCTCCCCAACCCCACCGTCCGGCAGCTGCACCCCGTCCGCACACCCCGCGCCCCACGCGCCCCGTGTGCCCGCAACCTCACCCTGCAGGCCCGGTACACCTCGCCGTCTGCAGCGCCCGCGGGCCCGACTTTATATCCCGGCCAGGGGAGGCCCCGCCCCCGGCGCCTGACTGACGTCCCACCGGCCCACTCAGGCGCCGGGCCCCCTGGGCGGGGCGGGCCGGGCGCCTCCACCTCCCTCGCACCTGGGCGGGCGGGCGCGGCGCCGGGCAGGTGCGCGCGGGGTGAGGGCCGGGACCGGGCGCCCGCGGTGGAAGTGTGTCCTCGCTGGGCCGGGGCTCCGGGCACCGCCCGTCCAGGCGCTCCGCCAGGGGCACTCGCGCGTCCGGCTGCGGCAGCTGCGGGGATCTCGGGGGTCTCCGTCCGCAGCGCCCAGCCCTGCTCTGGGTCGCGAGGGACTTAGGAAAGAGGCACATGTGTCTATACGTTTTAAATGTCCACAAGTGAGGAGTCCGGGAGAATTTTCGACAAAGTTATATGGTGCATGAGATTTGACTAAATCAGAGTTACGTTTAAAACTGGAAATCACACGGAAGAAAGCAGAGCCGCTAGCGTAAACCAACGCTCCCCGACCAATACTCCCCAGGTCATTTCGGTTCTCTCTTCCTAATGTGCTTCTTTCTGGAAGGTTGGGGTGGTCTGTGTTTGCACCGGGGATAACAAGGGCGTCACTGAAACCCAGAGACGGTTCCTGGTGGGACAAAGACGGCACACACCTGTCGCACATTACCTGTCAGAGTAACTGGGGCCTCGTGCCAAGGGTCCAGTGACTATCAAAATATTGAAAACCACTGATTTGGGATAACTTTTCTTGTTAACAGATTAAAAACAGTGGTGCCAGGGCCCCACCCCAGACTAATTGAACAAAATTTCCCTCGATGAGGCTCAAGAAAGAAAATTTCCAAAAAAGTACCTTAAGGGAGGGCCCCCCTGGTGGCCTAGTGGATAATTTGCTTAGGTTCCACTCGCCCGCTTTGGGAGCTGGTGTTTGTTCCAGGCGTGGACCTACACCACTCGTCTGTCAGTGGCCACGCTGTGGCAGGGGCTCACATACAAAAAGAGGAAGATTGGCAGCAGATGTTAGCTCAGGATCAATCTTCCTCAGCAAAAAAAAGTACCTTAAGTGAATTGAATGTGCCTCCAAGAGTTGAGAACCATTAGTGATTACTGGCCCTTCTCTATCACAGAAACAGATGCCACTGTAGAACTGAGCTCTTAGGAGCCCTGAGGCCTGCTGTGCTCCCCAGGCAGCAGAGTGGGCGGTTTGAGACCTAAGACTATAGTGTCACACGATCGGGATCCAAATCCTTGCTCTGACTCTGTGCTTATGCCAACTCACTGTGCCTCAGTTTCCTGGTCTGCAAGTGGAAATCATTGAACCTACCAGAATAATGTTGGCAGGCGCCTTGTCAGAACGGTGTAATATGTTTGTTACCCAGTCTAGGCTAATTCATAAATCTTTAAGCAGAATTTTCTGAGTTGGGAAATCTTAACATGATGCTGGGTTTTTGAGTGGATTCTTTAAAAAGTTCCGCAGCAGTTCCTTTGCTAAATGTGACTGCCGCTAGATGGGTTGAAGAGGTTCTCCTTTCCTTGTTGTTCACTGAACAAGAGGCCTGAAAGGAGGGGGAATAGGGCTTGGGGGGATTAGTCAAATTCAGGCAAAGTAGCTATAAGGAATGGGAAAGGGAACTGACTAGGAACAAAGTGAGGGAGGGCTGATCTGACTTTAGCAGTCACACCCTTGTTATGGAAGCATGGCAGTTAGACGGTTTCCTTGTGGCGCCGTGGCTGGAGACTGGAGGCCGTGGTGGCTTTATCAACGCTGGGATGGAGAATGTCAAGGTTGTTGTTTCAGGAAAACAAAGGGGACTGCCCTTGGGGTTCACACTAGGTGGAAGGGAAGCAAATTCAAGGGAGAACCAATCAGAGATGGAGGTGGGAAGGACAGAGAATTGAGGGCTGAAGGTGTCGAATCTGGTGACTCAAAGTGCAGTCCAGGAACAGCATTGACATCATCTGGGAGCCTGCTGGAAATGCAGACTCCCTTGTCTGGTTCCAAACATACTGAGTCAGCACATGCATTATAATAAGATTTCCAGGTGATTTCTATGTACATTCAAATTTAATACACACTAGTGTAGAGGTCAGAAAGGTTTAGTGTTAGAGTATGAAAGATGCAGAAGAATAAAAGGTTGGTCCAATGGAGGAAAACACTAAATGAAGTTGCAGACTTCAGAGGTGATCTTCCTAAGCATGACACCACTGAGGGTAAACCCCGATGAGAAGGCTGGTCATTCACAACATAAAAATGTACACCTTCTGTGCAGGGAAACTCAGCATCAGAGTTACCAGAAAAATTGCAAACTGGAAGGAAGAATTAATAGCTCCTACAAAACCAAGAAGGCGCAAAGGACGTTAAAAGGCAGTTCACAAAAGCAGTAACGCAAATGGCCATAAACACAGTAGAAGTGACCAACCCAGTTAGCAATCAAAGGATTACAAATTAAAAGGGTGAAGGAATATTTTGTTTATCTTATCACTAAGAAATATTAAAAAGATTGGCAATACCTGGAAATGGACAGGATCTGGGGAAATGACATTTCTGCTGTTTTAATGGTATTTTAAATTAATACAAGCTTTCTGGAGGACAGTCTGGGAATACACATCAAAAGTTAAAATACACTCTTCCTTGCTAGGAATTTAAGCTGTAGAAGTAATCTGAAGAAGTGCTGAGTTTATATGTGTTAGGATCTTTCTAAACTCTACTGTTTTTAACTGTGACAAAGTAGATAAAGGCAAATGTCACACAATAGCAGATTGATCTTATCAGTGGTTCTCAACTGGGACAATGTTGCCCACAGGAGACAGCTGGAAATAGCTGGAAGCGGTTTCAATTGTCATGATGGGGAGATGGTGATATTGGCACCCAGTGGGTAGAGGTGTACGGATGCTGCTAAACATCCTACAGTGCATGACACAGCCCCACAACCGGGAATTATCCAGCCTCAAATGTCAATGGAGACACCCTGGGTTAGATAAAGAATATTGCAGCCAGACAATAAAGTATTTTTCAGCCATAATAATGATGATGTAGAGCTGTATTTACTGGCTTGGAAAGATAAATCATTGAGTGGCGAAAAGCAAATTATAAAAGTAAAATGAATAGTAAGATCCCATTTTGCAAAGCAAGCAAAAAACTATTTCTAGCAAAAAGTTTAAAAGGTACAAAAACACTGAGTGTAAGCTCTGGGTTTCGTTGTTTGATTTTCTTGTTTGAATCTTTCTGTATTTCCTGAAAAAATTTTCCAGTAAATGTGTGTTACTTCTTTTAATTAGAAAAACAAGGCATTTTTCATCTAAAAGCAAAACAGAGCAAAAATCACAGAAGTGTCAGAAAGGAACAGTTCCGAATGAAGCCTGGATCTAAAATTTCTGTGGAGTGAATTACAGAAGTGAAGAAGGTCACTGGAAATGGGATATAAGGAATTGAAAAGCTAGGGTTGGGGTGTTTCTGCCCACGGACCCTGACCTTTCTTGAGATAGTGGCAGGAATTGGAGCAGAGAGGACAACAGCCAGGGCCCGAATACCTCAGCAGACATCAACAAGGAGGGAAGAGCAGCACAGCTGGACTTTGTGACCTTCGAGCTTTCTTTTATCTTCTTCCACAAGTGTCACAAGAAAATATGAACAAGATAAAAGAAATTTTTAAAATCTAAAAATTCCACTTACCCAGAAACAACCATTCTCGAAACAAATTTCGGTATTAATGGGTCCCCTCATGTTGCACGTTTCTGATATTTCACTATTATACTCAGCACATCCACAAACATTCTTAGAGCTAAATCTTTGAGAACATCCTTATCTCCTTAGAATCAAGTCTTTGACATGAAATTTGAAATATTTGGCCAAATTACTCCTATAAAATGTCAAAAACATAATTTCAAAATTTTTAAAAATATAGAGTAAACATGGGTCAAGTTTTTATTTTAACTCCTTACTGAGGAGCTTCCCAGACAAGTAAAAACTAAAGGAGTTTATCACCAAGAAATCAGCTTTACGAGAAATGCTAAAGGGACTTAGTTAAGTGGAAATAAGAAAATCCAGGATTCCTTTCCCTGTAGAATTCTGCATTGCTTTGGCCACAAGAGAGGTTTTGCCCAAGGCTTGGAAGGTGGGAGTGAAGCATCTATTCTTTCACGCCCAGAAGGTCAGGGTAGAGCCCCAGAGCCCTTGCGGCTCAGGCACACTGTCGCTTCTCCGCTGGCTCCCTGGTGGGTGTGGAGCAGCAATAGCCTTATGTAGACCATTTAACGAGCTCCAACAATTGCTCGTTCAAGGTCCAATCCTTAAAACAAATCTGTCACTCTATATCACATATATATAGTGGTTCTGCTTCTCTGATTGACTTCTGACTGGCACAGGGAGTTAAACATATAGACCTTAAACTGAACCTGATGGCACCACTTCCAACTCTGTGACCTTGGGCAACTTACTCAATCTCTCTGAGCCTTACTTTCCCCATCTGTTAAATGGGAACACTAATCCTTTCCTTCTTGGATCCTTGTGAGAAGATAAATGAAAATCACTTAACACTGTCTATAATTCAGTGATGTTTCAGGGAGTGGGGTGCCAGGTTTGGGACATACAATGGAGAACAAGGCAGGCAAGTCCCTGTCCGATTATGCTTGGGGTTGAGTGGGAGATACAGGCAAGTTAGCAAGAATTAGTAAGTATAGGATACTTAGTATCCCTACCAGGGGAGGAGAGAGTAGGATGGGAGGACCGGCTTAGTGTTGGTGTTAGTGGGGTTGGGGTTGGGGGTGGGACATGTCAAGGAAGGATTCCCATCTACATTGAGACCCAAGGACAAGTAGGAGTCCCTGATCATCTTAAGAGGGTGCTGCGTGTGTAAACCTGAGGGGTAAGCGGGAGCCGATGACTGCCACTGTTGTTAGCGTTCATCTCACCACTGAGGGATCTTGTGTCTGGGGCAGGGCAGAGGGAGGAGACTGGGTGGTGGGTGGAGCCCAGGAGAGCAGAGCCTGCCAGGACCCAGGAGGCCTCATCAGGAGC